CCGCCCCCCCCCCCCCCCGGGGTTCTCCTTCACGCTGCATGGAACCTAAGCTCCTAAAAACCCCAACTTTGCTTATCTGTAGCCAACTTCCCGGAAATCGTTCTAAAATGTATTACCAACAACTGTGCCTTGGAAAACTATAAATCGATACAGTTCAGTCTTTTCTTGGTAACTTACAATTATATTAATGAACAACAGTTGTATAAATTTTGGGGCTAAACAGTTCCATAATGTGATGAGTTTTGAGATTTATGGACTCATCTTTACATCTATCTAAATCTCTCCCTCCTCATCATTAAACTGTCCAGCTACCATTTCTTCAGAGTTTATTGGATGGAGACATAAAATTCAAGCTTTTTAGAATTATTTATAAAATAAGAGCAAAGAGGTTCTGAGGTTGTGAAATCCATCGTAGATCACCAGAGGATTTTTGCATTAAAAAAGTTTCTCTAAGCCCTGGCCAGTTTGGCTCAGTGGATAGAGTGTCAGCCTGCGGACACAAGGGTCCCAGGTTCGATTCCGGTCAAGGGCATGTACCTTCTTCCGGGCACATCCCCAGTGGGGAGTGTGCAGGAGGCAGCTGATCGATGTTTCTCTCTCATCGATGTTTCTAACTCTCTATCCCTCTCCCTTCCTCTCTGTAAAAATTCAATAAAATGTATTTTTTTTAAAAAAAAAGTTTCTCTACATTCTCACCTGTATCCTGATCAGATAGGTTTTCTCTTTAAGTAACAGAACCAACAACTGGAATGTATCTTCATGTGATTGTATGAAACTGCCCAGCCTCCCAACCATGAAACAAGCAAAAATAAAAACGAAGTCACCTGATTTATAATCTGCCTTCAAATCTGTGCTATAAAAGTATATAAACATAGTTTATGTTATTACATTTCCCATTGAAAACTCTTTGCTTTAGGAGATAATATTTTTGCAGCATAATGTATTAGCATACTTCTTAGGAGGATGTCTGAATTTTTCATAATACCTTGAAAATACCATTTCCAAAGGTTTCAAATAATCAAATTGGTAAGATGTCCCATTTTCTTTCCTTTTAACATATTCTTTCATCCTGTCATAAAACATAGCTGGTAAAATATGAACAGTGGGGTTTTTCTCAGATGAAATAGTGACATCTAGTGGAAATTTTCAGTCACTGCAGCTATTTAGGGGTCTTCAAAGGGCAGGAAGCAAAGAAATGAATGAGGAAAGTAGATAATTCAGCCAAAGCTTATTTACCATGTACCTGGCACTGTTCTGAATGTTCTACACTTACTAATTTATTTAATTCATATAAAACATATAAAGACAAAATCAAACTGTTCTTTGTTTTTCAGATAAGAATACTGCTGCACACACATGTTATGTAACTTGCCCCCCACACACCCAGAAGCCATGCTCTTAATCTACTTTCTGGAAATAGACTTTTTTTTGTTACAAGGGGGGAAAAAAATCCTCCTTTGTGAATTTCCTCTCAGCCTCATTCTTTTACCTGTGATTTCCCAAGAACAATCTTCCAGGAATAAGTAGAGAATTTCACACAAAGAAAATAAACCAGAAATCGATTTTTAAGGCCAAAATTGTATTTCAGTCACAGAAGAAGCCTTTCCTTTGCCTTAGTCTGTCCCTTTAGATCAATTCTACGGAACTGACTGAGCTGCTCTCTGTGCAATCGTGGTCCAGGCTTTCCTGGAAGAGCACCTACCGATCCCCACAGGGGCCCGCACGGTATAGTGCAGACAGCCCATGTGGTCCATCTGGGTGCACTCCGAGGTGTGGTGCAGGATGGAGGAGGCGAAGAACCGGAAGTTCTGTACAGACCGGGGAATGTCCATGGTTCTTGCCAGGGTAATGGTTTTCCCTGTAAAAAGTCAGCAACAGAAAGCACAGTCGGTGTATTTCACCATGGACAGTAGAGACAGTATCACTCACATACCCCGCTCACACTGCAGTAGCCTCCGTTCCTACTAGCCTGGGACAGACATTCACTAAATATACAAAGCATTAGTTTAATAAAACCGTGAAATAATTAGGAGGTTATAAGGTGAGGTGGGGGGAGGTAAATTGAGTCAAATGATCTTTGCTTTGTGGACTGAACAGTTCAGAGCTGTCATCATCAATTTGCCAGATGCTAACACTTCACCCGCACCAGCTCTTTCAAAATCGCAAGCTTTGTACATGTCACAAAGAGGGAGTTGGAATCGTGGGTGTAAAGATAGCTGTCTTTGCATATTACAAAAACCACTTGGATAAACACGTGATGTATATTAAATGTCCCCCCAACACGGGGAGGGGTCATTGAGATGGGCACGTGGCAGAACGACGGAAGGAAACCCCTGGCGCTGCAGCTGTGGGGCACTTGATTACCCATCACGTGCCCCACAGGCATCCTAGCTCCTGGTTGAACAAACCAGAAACCTACGCTTGCCTGGAGCGTTGCTTCGTTTCCCTTAGAGATGCGGGGACACTGCGGTGCCGGTGCTGGGAGCTCCAGCAGGAAACGTTTTCTTCCTAAGGCCTTGGAGTCAGGCTGCTCCCTAACTGCAGGCTGGTTTACAGCACGCACGTGATTTTAAACAATCGACTTTCCCAATAGATATCATTGCAAAGATCTACAGGCATTTACTCCATTACCCCGACTTCTGGGAAGCGGGTAAAAAATTGGGACAATTGTGTTGGAAGTGGGAGAGTGGTATCTCAGATGGCTTTCTAAGTAACTGGACTGTGAACTGCTCTTCAAATGACCTTTGCTTCATAGTTCGCCTCTTGGAATTGGTGGAAGATCACGTGATCAACCCCAGTGCTTCCTCCCTCCCCAGATCCATGCCCTTTGACAGGCGTGTTTGCAGTTCCTTCCACCAAACAGAGTGTATTTATTTCCCTGCCCCTTGAACTTGGTTGGGTTTTGCCCGGGCTCGCTTTGGCCGAGAGAAGGAGGCGCCCCCGCCCTCAGAGGCCTTGGGTGGTTTTGCTTCCCCCTCTTCCTCCGCCAAGAGAAGCCGGGGCGCCTGCGGCCTGATGGTCCCGGGAAGAGCGGGCCCAGTTCCGGCGATGACAGTTCAGGAAGAATCATTGTGCAGCTTCTGAGGAATAGGTTGCACTCTCCATAAAGCATTTAGTAAGAGACAGCTGCCCTCGACCCCCGGCTCTGCTAGCGCGAGGGCGGAAGAGGGAAAGGCCCAGCAGAGACAGCCCTGCAGATGCGCCCGCGCTCACCTTGGTCCTTGGATTCGGCCTGAGCCAGCTCCTCCAGGGACTGTTCCAGCAGGTCCGCCAGGCGGTGCAGCACCTGCGAGCGCTCCTGCGGGCTCCTGGCCGACCAGCCAGGGAAGGCGGCTCTGGCAGCCTCCACCGCAGCCTCGACCTTTGAGGAGCAAACGGGAGAGGGTCGCCTTAAGCCTTATGACTGTTGTTGCTCTCAGGGATCTCAGGAATCCAGAACCCATACACGCCAGGATTATTTCCTGCCTAATTCCGAATATTCCCGGTGCTGATTTCCCCACAAGGTGTTGCCGATGTGACCAGCAAAGCAGGGGCACCACAAAAACAAAGAAAAATGCCCCATTTCGAGCACCTTATCCAGAATGTGGCAATCAGATCATTAGAAAGAAGCTATTTGAATTTTAACAGATGCACATTTTCAGTCATTTCAAAATATAGACTTTTAAAACATCGTGTGAGAGGGGAAACTTAGTTGAGAAGCACAGAATCTCTAAACTCTTAATCCAGCTCGGACATAGCTGATAAAGTCTAAAATTTTGTTTGAAATCACTGTCACCCCATTTGGAATGACCAGTCATATTGGTAATTTTTTTACTAATTTTTATATATAAGGAAATCTGCTAAGTACTATAACACAAATTATTTCATTTAACCCCTTCTAAAATTCTGCAACATGAGTATTGCTTTGCCCATTTAGATGAAAAACACTGAAGCACAGAGAGCTCAAGTAACTTGCCAGAGCTCACACAGCCAATAATTGGCAGAGTCAGGATTCAAACCCAGATCTTCGTGGCTGCCAAGACCACGAGCCGGCCTGCTATGGCATAACAACTGCCCCTGCTCCTTGCTCCCTATCTCTGCCCAGTGAAAGAGGCCTCTTTAGGAGAGAAGGGTATCTGTAGTTGAACAGAGAGCTTGGGGACCCAGTTTTAGAGCTAAATCCAAAAGGAAATAGTGTGTGGGAAGGTATGTGCAAGGCAGAATAAATTTTCAGGCCACCTGCTGCCTTTCTCCTCTCATAGGCAATGTCTAAGATAGCAAATCCATAGATTGTGTTGCCCTCTCCTCTCTCACATGCATGACAAACATTTATAACTAGAGGCCCGGTGCACGAAATTCGTGCCTGGGAGGGGGGGGGAGTCCCCTCAGCCCAGCCTACACTCTCTCCAATCCAAGACCCCTCAGGGGATGTCCAGCTGCTGGTAAACCAGCAGCTGGACATCCCTCTTATAATCTGGGACTACTGGCTCCTAACTGCTCACCTGCCTACCTGATCACCCCTAACTGCCTCTGCCTGCCAGCCTGATCGTCCCTAACTGCCCCTTCTGCCAGCCTAGTTGCCCCCAATTGCCCCCCACCTGCCGGCTTGGTTGTCCCCAACTACCTCCCCACCCCTGCTGGCCTGGTCACCCCATGCAGCCTGCTGTTCAGTCCTTTGGTCATCCCTCACTAACCCCCCTGCTGGCCTGGTCACCCCATGCAGCCTGCTGGTCATTACTGTTACTGTGACGGCGCCCCCTACAATTTGTATATTCTTCTATTATTAGTATAGATCATAGCCTTCCCTGCCACTGGACCCACAGGCTCAGCCCCAGAATCCTCTTCACAGGCTTCCCAATGCCACAGCTTATTTCTTGTATCACATGACCTGACAATTCCACCACCGGCACTTAGGCCCTCTTATTGAAAACCTGATCTCACTTTTCTCCTGTTTTCTTTATGTGAACAAAGTCACCTTCAGATGAGCTGAGGTAAGGTATAAAATGTCTGGAAAGATGATGGTTTCACCTCAAAAACTGAATCTCTAATATGGACCTGCAGACAGGATGAAGAGAGACATGTGGGCCTTAGTGATCTCCACCACAGATGCAGGCTCATGGACATCCTGTTGCCAAGGCAACAAGAGGAGAGTTCATTCGTACAGTAATGTAAAATTCTAATCTTCCTACACTTGTCAATATAAAACTCTAATCTTTTTGAGAAGCAGAAAACTCAGTTCCAGTAATGTTTTCTAAATTGTTTAATGCCACATGTCTTGTGTCCATTTAGAATGCATACTCATCTACTATCCTATCTAATAATAGAGAAACATGGTAATTAGCCGTACCTCCGCTACCCTTCCCATTGGCTAATCAGGGCGATATGCAAATTAACTGCCAGCCAAGATGGCGGCCGGCAGTCAGGCAGCTTGAAGCGAACAGGAGGGTTGCTTGCTTCAGTGACGGAGGAAGCCAACGTTCCCCACCTGCCGCTGCCGGCCTCTGAGCTTGCTCTCTATGAAACATTGTTACAAATATAGAAGCTAAACAAAACCCCAGAAACCTGCTTTCAGCCAGCCGGG